GCGTAGCACAGGACCAGTTTCTTTATTGTATTATAACGTAGTTTGCATGCATTCACGACAATAATGTATCACATGCAACTATTTTGGTTTGCAAAACTATCTCCAATTTGTAAGCAATTTAACTGCAACAAGAGCGCGTCCCTTGATTTTCGCTATTGTGTGGATAGTTTTCTACTATAAAAATTTAATCAGTTTGTTGCATACCCAGTCAGTCAATCATTAAACTACTCATTCAATCAGTTGCGGACATTGAATGATTCAACAATTATATTGTCGATCACAAATATTTTACTTTAGGTCAACTTAGATAGCTCTTTTCATATTAGCCTTAAAAGACTTCGACGATAATTTTTTTTATTAAAAGTGCTTTGTTTGCATATTTAACTTCAAACTTTAATTACGTTGGAATTTGAAGAACCGCTTTTGTAATCCCACTGGATGACCTGGCTTCTGAGCCATGCCAGTAGCCCTTTGGCCCTCTCTAAGTTAGACATGCATTTTATAACTTAAAATGCCAAGATTTGTACATTTGGGGTATTTAAATGTAGCAACTGATTAAATGAGTAGTTTAATGATTAACTGACGTACTGGAATTTGCAGGGGTTAATCCTTAAGTTCGAAGAAAATTGGGCAGAGGGTGTCAGAAACACAAGGGTATTTGCAAAATGATTATAAAGGCCAAAATAAGGAGAAAGCTTTAATATTCCGACAATTCGTCACTTAATTATGTCAATTATATCACAAGTATTTGGAAAATTTTTTTATTACTGCAAATAAATTTCACGTATGCCCTACATGGAGTGCGTTTGCAGTGTTTATAGAATTTGCGCTTTTCTTTTTGGAAGATTGCAGATAATTATGGAATTTGCTTGAGTGATTACCATCACTCATTTTGCAGGCGGGATTTCGTTGACAGAATTCATTAGATAAGGCATGCTAGCGTACCGCGTTGAGAGTTCGTGAAGACCAAAAATAATATAACTCCCATGCACAATATACTATTGTTGCCGTACCGAGAGAACTAAGAGATTGCTGGTACAGCCCATGACATGGCTATCCGGAGAAGGTAAAATGATGCAATTCCAGGTTACCATTATTAAAAGAGAGAGCGAAAGAGGCAACTGAGTTATTTCTCTAGCTATCATGAAATTCCGTTTAAAGTTATGATGCGCGAAGTCAAAAGTGGCCGACCCATTACCAAATGTAGGTTTACCCAAAGATTGCCCCTTAAGCTAGAATCAGTTGGACTTAATCAACGAATTAAGCTTCATGGTACTCGGCTGCATTTCAGGCAGAAGCCAATAATAGAAGCTATTTTCCAAAGCAGGATTAAAGGTTGCCAAAAAATTATGTTACTTCATGTATTTAATTTGATTTGACTAATATAAATAAGCCCTAACTTTAACGCAATGCGTATTTTGCCTAAAAACACCGTTTAGGTAAGCGGCGTTAAAAGACCACAAATTGGACAGCGGTGGAGTAGTCATGGTTCCCTGAGATAGACGAAAGCTCAGAATACACTACTCTGGACTTTTATTCACCCTAGTAGGGATTACCAATACACATGCTCTTACCGATTTTGTCTTCTCCTTCAAGGAGTTTAAGGGCCAAGAAGGAGGAGATAAAGGTAGAGTCCGCTACACCGATGCCAGTGTTGACTTCTCTTGCACTTTCGACAGCGATATGAATTTCCAATGATTGTTTAAAACTGCCAAACTCATCCACCTCTGTAGCAATGCAATCACCCAGAAAATACCTCCGTCCAACAGGTAGTGTTTAGCGTTCATTAATTCTTCAAATAGTCTCAAGGCAAAACCGGCGACTAGCCTAATGCTGTCTGTCAGGCTAAAGCCGGACCCTCTGCAGCGAAACTTAAAGGAAACAGAGAATCACATGACCAACCCCAATAATTGGTCAGGTGCTCTGCATTTCCAAAAATCAAGTGACAGCCTTGTGAAGACCATATTGAGTGGGAACTTGATAGGCAACTATGAAGTGAAGTTGTAACCTCTTGGACTTAGGCATATTAAGGTGTTGTGTTAGTAGGAATTTTGAAAGTCTCTGCACCCCATTTTGCAATCAAATAATTTGGTGAGCGATTCCCTTATAAATAGGCTGTTCCTGTTCACTACTCATACATTCTACAGCATTGCATGAATCACCCACTCTTATATACATGTAAATTCCAGCGAAACTTAAAGAAGTTACTTATTGTAGCTTTTCATTTGGTGTTCCCTTATTGTCCAACATCCTGTCGGTACCACGAAAAGGCATTTTTACCAAAAACTTACAACTTCGGACAGCAAATAAATGCATGGGAATGCGCATATCACGTCTTGATCACAAACACTCGCACTACCTCTATTCGATATTCCTTGTGGCTGTTCATTCCATCAGTGTGACACGAAACTCGACTGCGAGTAATGAAGGTGTCCGCCAATTTATCCACACACGGCGATTCTTGTGTGAAACTTCCAATACTTCTTGCTAACAGCTTGAATGGTGCAGATTGCATGGGCAAGAAAGCTTTCAGTTCGGAGAAGTTTGATTGTACTTAAATACATCTGCATTCAAATTAACGCAGTCATAGCCTCTGCTCTGTTTAAAAGTCTTTTCCCTGTTTATTTCACAAAACATGCAGAGGTTAACTTGTACTCAAATTACTGCTCCTCAAACTCGACCTCAATTTCTTCGTCTGATTTTTAGTGATGTGCGTGGCGAGCAGGAACTAAATCTTGCATACACTCTGCAATTGACAAAGCGACTTTTAGCAGACAAACCAGAAAATGTGAATGCGAAAGATTTAACGCCTTTTTTTGAGATGTCTGAGTTGGTAACTATTTTCAAAACATCTTGACGCCATTAAGGGCGCCCCACAACGTCATATTGCTTTATCAAAAACAGAGAGAACATATAGATTGCAGGATTGGAATAGCCGTAGTTACCAGATGTTTGAGTTACAGTAGAGCGCGTCCCTTGATTTTCGCTATTGTGTGGATAGTTTTCTACTATAAAAATTTAATCAGTTTGTTGCATACCCAGTCAGTCAATCATTAAACTACTCATTCAATCAGTTGCGGACATTGAATGATTCAACAATTATATTGTCGATCACAAATATTTTACTTTAGGTCAACTTAGATAGCTCTTTTCATATTAGCCTTAAAAGACTTCGACGATAATTTTTTTTATTAAAAGTGCTTTGTTTGCATATTTAACTTCAAACTTTAATTACGTTGGAATTTGAAGAACCGCTTTTGTAATCCCACTGGATGACCTGGCTTCTGAGCCATGCCAGTAGCCCTTTGGCCCTCTCTAAGTTAGACATGCATTTTATAACTTAAAATGCCAAGATTTGTACATTTGGGGTATTTAAATGTAGCAACTGATTAAATGAGTAGTTTAATGATTAACTGACGTACTGGAATTTGCAGGGGTTAATCCTTAAGTTCGAAGAAAATTGGGCAGAGGGTGTCAGAAACACAAGGGTATTTGCAAAATGATTATAAAGGCCAAAATAAGGAGAAAGCTTTAATATTCCGACAATTCGTCACTTAATTATGTCAATTATATCACAAGTATTTGGAAAATTTTTTTATTACTGCAAATAAATTTCACGTATGCCCTACATGGAGTGCGTTTGCAGTGTTTATAGAATTTGCGCTTTTCTTTTTGGAAGATTGCAGATAATTATGGAATTTGCTTGAGTGATTACCATCACTCATTTTGCAGGCGGGATTTCGTTGACAGAATTCATTAGATAAGGCATGCTAGCGTACCGCGTTGAGAGTTCGTGAAGACCAAAAATAATATAACTCCCATGCACAATATACTATTGTTGCCGTACCGAGAGAACTAAGAGATTGCTGGTACAGCCCATGACATGGCTATCCGGAGAAGGTAAAATGATGCAATTCCAGGTTACCATTATTAAAAGAGAGAGCGAAAGAGGCAACTGAGTTATTTCTCTAGCTATCATGAAATTCCGTTTAAAGTTATGATGCGCGAAGTCAAAAGTGGCCGACCCATTACCAAATGTAGGTTTACCCAAAGATTGCCCCTTAAGCTAGAATCAGTTGGACTTAATCAACGAATTAAGCTTCATGGTACTCGGCTGCATTTCAGGCAGAAGCCAATAATAGAAGCTATTTTCCAAAGCAGGATTAAAGGTTGCCAAAAAATTATGTTACTTCATGTATTTAATTTGATTTGACTAATATAAATAAGCCCTAACTTTAACGCAATGCGTATTTTGCCTAAAAACACCGTTTAGGTAAGCGGCGTTAAAAGACCACAAATTGGACAGCGGTGGAGTAGTCATGGTTCCCTGAGATAGACGAAAGCTCAGAATACACTACTCTGGACTTTTATTCACCCTAGTAGGGATTACCAATACACATGCTCTTACCGATTTTGTCTTCTCCTTCAAGGAGTTTAAGGGCCAAGAAGGAGGAGATAAAGGTAGAGTCCGCTACACCGATGCCAGTGTTGACTTCTCTTGCACTTTCGACAGCGATATGAATTTCCAATGATTGTTTAAAACTGCCAAACTCATCCACCTCTGTAGCAATGCAATCACCCAGAAAATACCTCCGTCCAACAGGTAGTGTTTAGCGTTCATTAATTCTTCAAATAGTCTCAAGGCAAAACCGGCGACTAGCCTAATGCTGTCTGTCAGGCTAAAGCCGGACCCTCTGCAGCGAAACTTAAAGGAAACAGAGAATCACATGACCAACCCCAATAATTGGTCAGGTGCTCTGCATTTCCAAAAATCAAGTGACAGCCTTGTGAAGACCATATTGAGTGGGAACTTGATAGGCAACTATGAAGTGAAGTTGTAACCTCTTGGACTTAGGCATATTAAGGTGTTGTGTTAGTAGGAATTTTGAAAGTCTCTGCACCCCATTTTGCAATCAAATAATTTGGTGAGCGATTCCCTTATAAATAGGCTGTTCCTGTTCACTACTCATACATTCTACAGCATTGCATGAATCACCCACTCTTATATACATGTAAATTCCAGCGAAACTTAAAGAAGTTACTTATTGTAGCTTTTCATTTGGTGTTCCCTTATTGTCCAACATCCTGTCGGTACCACGAAAAGGCATTTTTACCAAAAACTTACAACTTCGGACAGCAAATAAATGCATGGGAATGCGCATATCACGTCTTGATCACAAACACTCGCACTACCTCTATTCGATATTCCTTGTGGCTGTTCATTCCATCAGTGTGACACGAAACTCGACTGCGAGTAATGAAGGTGTCCGCCAATTTATCCACACACGGCGATTCTT